TGTCCCCAATCCCCCCACTGTCCCCAAATGTCCCCACTGACCCCTGTCCTTCAGGGTCAGCACCAGGGTTTGTCCCTCGGGGATGGAGTTGGGGTCGTGCTCCACCGTCAGCCCCTGCAGGTCCCGGGCGCTGTAACGCTCCTGGGGAGGGGACACGAGTGTCACCAGTGTCACCGGGGTGTCACCGGGTGTCCCCAGAGTGTCACCAGGGTGCTCTAGTGTCACCGGGTGTCCCCAGAGTGTCACCGGTGTCACCGGGGTGTCATTGGGTGTCACTGGGCGTCCCCAGAGTGTCCCCAGGGTGTCTTCGGTGTCCCCAGGGTGCCCTCAGTGTCCCCATGATGCCCCCAAAGCGTCTCCAGGGTGTCACTGGGTGCCCTCAGTGTCCCCAGGGTTCCCTCAGTGTCCCCAGGGTGTCCCCAGGGTGCTCTCAGTGTCCCCAAAGTGTCCATAAAGTGTCCCCAAGGTGTCCCCAGTGTGCCCTCAGTGTCCCCAGGATGTCACCGGCGTGCTCTCAGTGTCCGCAAAGTGTCCCCAAAGTGTCCCCAGGGTGCCCTCAGGGTGTTCTCAGGGTCCCCTCGGTGTCCCCAAGGCGTCCCCAGGGTGTCCCCAGGGTCCCCTCAGTGTCCCAAAGGTGTCTCCAGAGTGTCCCCAAGGTGTCCCCAGGGTGCCCTCAGCATCCCCAGGGTGTTCTCAGTGTCCCCAAGGTGTCCCCAGAGTGTCCCGAGTCCCCTCAGTGTCCCCAAGGTGTCCCCAGGGTGCTCTTGGTGTCCCCAGGGTGTCCCCAGGGTGCTCTTGGTGTCCCCAGGGTGTCACCGGGTGTCCCTAGGGTGCCCTCAGTGTCCCCAGAGTGTCCCCACAGTCCCCTCGGTGTCCCCAAGGTGCCTCAGTGTCCCCAGGGTGCTCTCAATGTCCCCAAGGTGTCCCCAAGGTGTCCCCACGATGTCCCCAGGGTGTCCCTCACCCGCCGGCGCCGCTGGAACTCCTCCTCCACCAAGGAGCTGACCCCGAACTCTTGGTCCATCTCCTCCAACAGCTTGGCCTGAAAATTGGCCCAGTTAAAACCAGTTAGAACCAGGTTAAAGACAGCTAAACTTGGTTAAAACCAGTTAAAACCCGGTTAAAACCCAGTTAAACCAGTTAAAACCAGATAAAGCCCATTAAAGCCAATTAAAACCGGTTAAACCCAATTAAAAGCAGTTAAAAGCAATTAAACCTGGTTAAACCCAGTCAAAGCCAATTAAAACAAGTTAAACCTGGTTAAACCCAATCAAAACCAGTTAAATCCCAGTTAAAACCCGGTTAAACCTGGTTAAACCCAGTTAAAACCTGGTTAAACCCAGTTAAAACCAGTTCAAGCCAGTTGATCCTGGTTAAACCCAGTTAAAACTAGTTAAAACCCAGCTAAAACCAGTTAAAACCACTTAAACCCAATTTGGGGACTTTTGGGGGATTTTTTGGGGATTTTTTGGGGGATTTTTTGGGGATTTTTTTAGATTTTTTTGGGATTTCTTGTGGGATTTTTTTTATTTTTGACGGATTTTTTGGGAGGATTTTTTTGGGATTTTTTTTGATTTTTGGGGCCTTTCCCACCCTTTTTTCTGCCAGTTCTTTCTCCCTCTGCAGCGCTCGGCTGCGCTCGATCCAAGCGGCGGCRTCGTCCAACCACGGCTCCTCCTCCCCCAACGTCTTCACTTTGCTTTTTTGGGGCAAAAAAATGATATTTTGGGAACCCCAAAACATTCAAAACCTCGAAAAAATTCTAAAAGCTCTTCCCCGAGCATCCTAAAAACTTCTGGAGTTTTCCAGATCTCAAAAATTCACCCCAAAAAACCCTCCCGGCCTCCCCAAATCCCACCCAGCTTCCCCCAGTACCCC